TCATACATATGTTGATCGGCTAACCGCAACTCGATGAAAATTGCGTTATAGTATTAAATAAGGTTTATCTTATCTTTTTATCATATACTATGTTTATTTATATTGTAAGCTTTCCCATGAAAACAACAAATTAATTTTTGTTACCTTCCACCTTTCACCTTTATACCATTTAATTTGCTTTTTGTGTTTTATATTTTTTAATGAAATTATTTTTGCGTCATAAAATAATAATAGAAATCGGAATTTTAATTATAGTTGAAACTGAGAAAATTAAAGAGACAAATACAAATGTAGTGAGTTTTCTTTGCCAATTAGTAATTAAATTAAATTTTTTCATGGTTATTATTTTCGGTACCAAGCGAATAAATGAATAAATAAATGGTCATCGGGTTAGCCGATTGGTCACTTGCTGGTTCGAAACAAATAATAATATATTTGAGATGAATCGTTAATGACTACCGGTCATTGCATCAAAATGCAAAATCACCAAATTATAATGGTTATTTGACCTTTGCATGATTCTTCTTTGTTATAATGAGAAAGAGAAAAGAGAAAAATACATTAAAATTTAGCCTTTTAAATTCTAACTCTTCGATGGAAAACAATCGTAAATATAAAATTAACTAAGAAAATAAGAGAAATTTTATTTCATAAATTTTATCGTTTCCCTTGATCAATCAAGACATTCTATTATTAATAATTATGAGCAAGCGACGCTAATAATCCAAATAGCTAATGGCCAATACCACTAAAGATGCCGCTAATTAATGAAGGCATACTAGTCATTATAAGATTGCCGGTTCAAAAAGAATTCTCAATGACCAGACGACAACCATTATCAACTACAATCCAATCCAATCCAATATAAATAAAAGATATGAAAATATACGCAAATTGATAGAATTACAGTCTCTTCTAATGACATCCATAATAATCCATAATAATGCCTATCATATTCTTAATTAATACCAATGGCCAAGAAGATTTGATCCTTTAAAAAAAAGAAAGAAATATTTAAAACTAACCAATACATGCATAATATTTCGTTGATGCAATATATCCAGGATCACATAAACATTCACCGTTTAGCATATCCCATGAACCAGTTGCTTTACAAACAAAAGTAGGTTGTTGCACTGAAGCTAAAAATGTGCAATATTAAATAATATTAACATAATAATTTTGTAAATATTATACTAACAAGTTGGACTTGCATTCGCAACACATTTGCCTGGAACTGCAATAATTGAATGCGCTTCAGAACCCGTTATTGTTTGGCTAAAGTGTACGAATGATTTCGTTATTTCAGGGCATACTTCATAATAGATCTGAAACAATAATTATAATTTTAAATGTATAACGATAAATTAGCTAAAATATCGGATGAATAAAATACATCAATTTTTCTCATATTTTATAGAAACTTCTTTCAGTATAGGTTCGTCTCATATTACTTTAATTCCGATTCCATTCAATCCAGTACAAGTTTCTTGAATTCCAGATTTATAATTATGATTAATGATGGGAAATAGAAAAGTTTAATGATTTGGTGCTCTCATTTCGAGTTACCGATGATGCTGAAGTTCAAATTTCCGCGTAGAAATAAATTCGAATAGCGCTGACGTGATTCTCTAGCTAAATTTTTTTTTGGTCCAACAAGTCAGTTCTTAGAAAAAAAAAAAAAAAGAAAAATGAATAATAATTATTGTAGAAATATGTGAAAGAAAAAAATTAACATATAGTATAAAAATTTGTTTAAAATTATGTTGGATCCCTCATAAATAAAAAAAAAAAAAAAAAATTATTAATCTATGAGAATTTCATTATTGATGGCGTGCAATAGTAGTAATTCATTTATTTGGCAATATAAATTTTTAAATTGCACAACACAAACACACCACATGCATACAAAGAAATTTTATTAAATTGCTTGACTAGAAGATAATTTATCAACGCATCAACTCTTAAATATCCTCGTCCTCGCCTTAAGCATTTCATTCTTTCATTCCTTATTTCATTTTCTCACTCCTCTTATTGTTATTCTTATCGTGTTAAATAAGCTTTCATTCCATATATCTTTTTCTAAAATTTTTAATTAAAATTTCTAAAATTTATTGCCCTTTAATATACTCTCAACTCGTTATTTCAAAAATAAGTTATTCGATAGTAAATTTCATCGTAATTTTCTATGGGTCAAATTGCTAATAAGTCCCAATAATGACTAAAAAATTTTCATAAATTATGGCCTTCTTTTAGAATTTTTTTAATGATCGAAAATGATTAAGGAAGAAATTATCGACAAATATGATGATGAATTTTATATTATTAAATTTTAGTACAAAATGCATTTTGGCCTATTCCTATTTTTAATTAAGATCATTTCTGATAACAATTTAATACTTAACGCCACCTCGATGTTTACTTTTGGATTAATTAAAGGCTTAATAACGATTATATTTATTTATTTTAAGATGCCAAACCACTGATGCGCTATATTTATATGAAATAATAGTTCAATAAATAGTTGGATTCGATTGTCGAAATGATATTTCTGATAATTCTTTGATAAAAGTCAAGCGATTGCTATTCCGACATAAAATCTCCATAAAAATAAATCTAGCATTGAGAATAAAATGATACTGGAGAATATTCTCATCTAATATTTCTAATCTTCCTCCTATATTCATTCCTAAATAGCCAGTGAAACCAGCTGAAGTAGGAATATTGAATACCATTAGAGGATGAAAATAATTTGTGTTGTATCACTGATAAAAAAAAAAAAAATGCATAAATTAGTTAAGTTCTTCACCACCTATAGCAAGGATTATGCGTTAAAAGCCCAGTCTGAATTGGTATACTGATAAGATTTTGAATTTATGATCAACGCAGTGATAAAACTTAGATAGTCGAAAAAAGAACGAAGCTTTTTTTTGCTTTCTCTATCGGGTAGAAAGGTTCGGAAATAATTATTCTTAGTAAATAATGGTAAGTGTTATTAGAAGAAAATTTATTATTTATTGAAAAAATCTATTTCAGGAAAACAATTATAGAAACATCTATATATTCTCGAATCATAACAATTCACCATTTTTAATTCGATAAGTCAATAAAGAAAAAAAAAAATTGACTAAACTTGAAAATTGATAGATATATGACAAACCTTAACGTCTAAAATCGAGATGCATGCACCAGAATCTCGAAAAGCAAAATAAACAGTATCTTTTGTGATCGTATAGCTACGTGTTTCTTTATTTACAGTCGTTATCGATGTATCGTGTTTCGAATGCCGACCAGTATCAGATGCTATCGCATCAATTAAATCCCTTAAATCTCAAATGAATTATATAAAAAATGAAAAATTATAATTATAAAAAAATATATAAAATTATAAAAAAATTTTACTAAAAAAATAAAAAAAAAAAGAAAAAATATTAGCACCAATAGTCAGATGTCCAAATATCATCCAGATCTTTTTCATTATTTGTTAATTGAGTCGCATATAAGCGAAATGTTTCTTTACACGATCGAGCATTTCCAGGAAATTCACTACAATCTCTCATTGTAAATGTTATCTGAAAATTTTTTTTAAAAAATTTTTAAATTTTTAAATAAATTTTTTTTACAAATGAATAATTTATTAAAGAAATAATTGGATTAATTTTATTGATAAATTTTTGATAAATCGATAAATTTTTGATAAAGAATTATAAAAAAAAAATAGTGGTTATTAACGATTTAAAAAATTGAAAAAAGTATCCACTTTTTTTAAAGGGTAATTTATAAAAAATTTAGGTTCATCATTTTTTATCCAAATTTATTACGTTAATAAAAATTGCAATATAATCATATTTCATGAAAATAAATATTTATTAATCTCTTACTTCAACATGCAATCTATTTGCTCCATTCCTCGATATTCGTGGTGTACGAAGCCAATTATCAACATTCGGATGTTCAACATTGCATACAACATAAGCACGACGATTTTCGATGCCTTCTGCACCTCGATACGTTTCTTCCAACCACTAAATAATTCATAAATATACTGACATCAATTTATTATTAATAATAACTGCAATTATTATAATAATAATTTTTTGAAATCTGAGTGGAATATTGTTTGTAACAAATCTGCATTGTAACATTTAAATACAGATGCATTTATGCATTTATCATTTATCAGCTAATGCATTTATCAGTTAAATGCATTTATCAGTTCTAATTTGGCTGGTCCTACTAGCTATTAAGAATTCTTCACAAGAGAGTGCACTTGAGAATAGAAAATACAGGTGATCCCAAGCACCATCCTACTACTACTACTTGTGATTGCAATGACAGATCTGCTTTCATCAAAAGCTCTCATTATAATGAATTAATTTAAATCGTTAAAACAAAAATTTTTAATTTAATTTAATAGGCTTACAATACAAACAAAGGTTCTTCATACACTTCTAGTAGGCCTAGGATTATTTTCGATAGCTTTGTTGATTAGTTGTTAAATTATGATACCAATGATAATGGTATAAATTAATATCAATCTTAAGTATGTGTTGATATTTCGAATATTTTTTTTGATTTTGGTAGTTATTTTGAGTAAAATCTGTTTAAAATAAATATGAAAAAATATGTAAATTATATAAATTCTAATCAAAATGATTTATTGCTTTCATAATAAATCTTAAATAAACCATAACTATAAATCTACTATCTGAAATTTAGTAATTTTATATGAATATTTTCATATTATTTATATTTTATTTATATTTTTATATATTTAAATTTTTATAATTTATATTAAAAATTTTTTCTTCTAAATCGCTAAAATCATCATTAAATATATAAATAAATAAATTAATGAATCATATTTTTTTTCCAACAATTGGACAGAATATTCAATTAAAAGGCTATTAAAAATAAAAGGGTAGTAATTAGTGAATAAGCTTGAATTGATCAAGCGTACACAATATTCCATATGATCGAAATATGATTGGATTAAACGTTAATAAGATCAGTTGACAGGTTGTAGATCGAATTCAATAATTAAATAATATCTCAGTTCGGAGCGCCGAAGCTGAGGTTCTACTTCCATGGGAATAAACGTCCAAAAATCCTGGTGATTCTGGCGACTTCTTTCGCCAAAGGAGTAATTCTAGCATCTGTTCCAAATTTATACGTAAACTATTGAAAAACATTTTTCAAAAAAAAATTTTCGATGATTCGAATTGGCAATAAAATATTGTAATATTAAAAATGATAATTTTTCTTATCTAAGAGAATCATACAAATTCGTGATTGAAATTTTTGCATAATTTCATTCCCTTCTATATAAAATCTTTCGATTTTTATATTTTCAAATTTTCTCGCATCACTTTACTAAAAAAAAAAGTTCTATAAAACAGTAGGAGGTTAGAAAATAATAATAAATAAATCATTGTTCGCCAATTTGTATGTGACGAAAAGAATACGAAAAAAAAATTTTTATAGATTTTTAAAGCTTTTATATTTTTTTTTTTAAGCCAAACATTTTCGCTATATACCTAACTATATAATAGGAAATATAAACATATTGGCTGAAAATAGGTAGTAAAACTAGGAAGTACCATAAACTAAAATCTTTAACAAAATTATTCCTCCTATCAAAATAAAATTATGAATCGTAATTTTTGAAGCGTAAATTAATATAGCATAATTTTCTGCTCTCAGATGCTATTAGATTTTTTAAAATTACCTTTTTGCATATGTAAATTTCTTTTTATCTATAATTTGCATGAAAATTACATCTAATAATAATTTTCTGCCAAAATCATTGAATCTTTCTTTATTGAGTATCTTTTCAGCAAATTTTTCCGTCTCATTAATATCCACTGACAATCAGTTCGATTTAGAGGTCTAATGTTATCTGCAACATTATCATCAAACCACCATTTCTGGTTTGATTAACTATTAGGAGAGTTCTCCAGCAAACAATGACTTGGCAATAGAAGATATTGGATTTCTAGCCAAATTTCTAACCACTCAGATTTCATCCAGTAATTCCTATCAAGGAACATGAACCGATTCTATGATGAATGATCACAATCGCGGCAACATATCATTTCTGCGAACAAAAACAAGTATAAATCCTTTATTATATAGTGGTGTAGTGCACATGTTATGGATGAATGACTAGTTGCATCGTATTTCAAGATGAAAGGAGAAAGCCCTTCACAAATGTAGTCTCACATTTCTTAAACGAAATAATAAATAACCTTCAGTGATTCGAATGTTCATTTCACACACGACTGCACAAATCGGATTTTAACAGGTGCCTATGCAAACAATAGAAACCCTTCAACTTACAAAAGCTAATAAGTATGTTGGAAAATCGAATAATTCGTAGATAATCAATAATAACAAAGGATTTGGATTTCCAGGTAACAAACACAAAAAAAAACTAATTAAATAAGTAAAGGTCATCAAAGGTCATAACAACTATAATTAACCTAGAATTTAACGCATGGATTAATGCGAGAAAAACAATACCAAAGCATATCGGACCGAACAACTTAGAACTATCTTCTTATCAGTCAGCCTAACCAATAATGCTGAAGGCTAATTAGAAGAAGAAGAAAGCATGGATAAATTTTGTCGAGATTTAGCAAAATCATAAGGTTTTTCTTCTCTATTTCAAACTATTTAAATATGTTTTGATTATTATAATCAATTATAAATAAATTAAATTATATAAATTAAATTTAAAGTATAAATTATAAATAACAAAATAATTTTCTGATTTGACAGCATAAAAAGTCAAAAATTTTAAATTTAAACAATAAAAAAAAAATTAAAATATTGTAAAAAAATAAACTATTGTTTATGATAAATAACTATTATAAAGTTCATAAACATTCAGTTTTTAGTTAATTTTAATTAAGATCGGAAGGTTTAGAAATTTAGAAATCAGTAAAAGCAACTAACGTGAAAATGGTACCTACAAGAGAAAAATGAATAATTAAAATATCTTAGTAAAAATTAAAGAAAAAATTTGCATGCTTCGACCGAAAACAAAAATAAATCGGCTACTGAAAATAAAATTCGGGTGATGTTGAGAATCAACCGAAATAAACCAAAATTTTTGGCTTATTTTTAAAAGTTCATAACTCAAGGCACTATATGGTTATCATTGAGACGAATATTGATGTATAGAAAGCACTAACGCCTATTTCATCGTCGTCCATGTTTGAATGAGTTTTCCATCGCAGTTCGGTTGTTGAATTTGATGTATCTAGTAAGATCACTGCAAAAAAAAAATGATTATATTTCAATTTCAATATATATATTAATATATTTATAATTAAAAATATATATTATACATTAATATATCTATATTAATAAAAATAATATAAATATATTTATATTAATAAACAAATAAAAAAATTCCAACTCTTTAAAAAATGGGATTTTTTAAAATTACCTTATTTTAAAATTAGAGCTTATTTTAATTTTTTAAATCAAAATTTTAAAATTGAAGCTAAGAAAAGAAAGCCTTTTTCTTCAAAAATGAATGTGCATCATTTCTGGTTTTCTTTGCTCCGCTGGCTTGCCGGACCAGCAAATTTAATTAAGAGATTAGCGACAAAAATACAGGTTTGTATCCTTCAGAAGAAACAAAATTACACGGTAATGTAATTAAAGGCTATAAAATTTCTAAATGATTATAAAAAAGAATTTATTTAATAAGCTTTTAAATTTTCGTAATTTTCAACAGTTGATCAACAATGCTGATTAAAATTTAACGGGTAAGAAGAGCGGGAATGCATTAATTAGATGACCCACGGATATTTTCTTAGATTAAAAGATAACTATGGGAAAGGAGAAACGAATCTGTCATCCCTTATCTTTTTTTATTATAGCTATAATTATTTTTATTATTAATTATTTTACAAACATTTAAGTATTATTTACAATAGCATTTATTTTCAAATATCCCTCAAATTTTATCCAATTCTTTTGCCTAATATTTTTCTTATTAATTTTTGGTTGCGCATTCTCCAACGAGTAAATATGCAATAATTTCATTTTAGTGCCGATGGCTAAGAATGAAAAATAAGATTGCCAAAGAATGAAATTATAGAATCATTTTTGAACGTTTTATTTTAAGCTCATTTTAATTAGAACCATTTTTTAAGTAAAAGTTTAGAAGTTCAGAAATAGTACGCAGAAATTTTAGTTTCAAATAGATTTTAGTTATATAAAAAATTCTAAAAAGAATATGCAAAATTTCATCCAAAATTCAATGAACTATTTTATTAGAAATTTTTAAATTTTTAAATTAAATTTTTAAATTTTCGAAATTTTTTGCAGTAATTTTTCAATATTAATGTAATATATTAACCAGTCCACTGTCAATAAAATTGAATTATCTTATAAATACAAATAAAAAAAATTTACAGAAAAATTTTTTTTACATTTTATTATTATTGAAATCTATTCCTATAAAATTTCATATATCTCCTAGCATTATCAAAGAAAAAGAAATGATCATTTTTTTTATTTTTTTATTATGAGCCATTATCTTTCTTCGAACCTATCCATTTCGAGCTTCAGCTTTGAGTAATCCTATTCAGCTTGGATTTCTTTGTTGGCAATATGTTAAGAAAAGTAAGTAGGCTCGAGAGACAATACGATATGGAGGAGATTAAAGAAGTACAGAAAGGTATATAAAACGATATGACAAAAATTGATGAAAAATTTATGGCAAGAGTAGTAGGAGAGGAGAATTCTAATGAAAAGATGATAAGATATTGTTAAGAGACTACAGGAACTATAGGATAATAAAATGGCTACAAAGCAATTTCTAACAGGTTATAGCAAAAAATTGCAACGGAATTTGATGGATCGCACTTATCATAAAAAAAAGATAGAGTGGATTTGAAAAATATTCATGAAGCTTTTGGTTATTTAGGGCTTAAGAGGATGTTTCCAATGGAATAAAAGAGCAAATTGGAAATGGATAGAATCTTGAAAGGAAATAATTGAATTTCTGTGGAAATTATTCAGAAATTGTTTGAGGGCATCAAGAGACTAACTGCGATTGCAAAAATCTTTTGTAAATATAGATTATGTGTGGTTTTTTTCCGAGAAAAATCAAATCCAAATACGTTTAATAAAGATGACCAATGAATAGAATGGCTAAGTGGTACCATCAACTCTTGTTCGTCTTCTATTGTAGTTAGTCAAATTGAGAACAGTAGGAAAAATAATGACGACCTATTTCAACGACCTTTATTCGATTTCTTTTTATAATTAAATCAAACTGATTGTTAAATTTATAAAGGTGCTCGAAAGGTGAGCATGCAAGATGCACTTACTAATAACGTGGGTGATTCTCACAGTGGGTGATTTCTACAATACTAACCCAATCAAGTCAACTTAAAGTTAATTTTTAAATACTATTGGTTCCATTTTTTTTAATAATATTAATAAAATTGGTTCAATTGATAAAATGGTTATTGGGAATTATTGGAAATGATTATGATTATAATTAAAATAACAAAAACAACGATAAAATAACCAACTCTCATTTATAAAATATTAAATTCTTTTGCTATAAAATTAAAGATTTAATTTTTATTTTTATTTTTTATTATTATTCATTGTTTTAAAATTGTGTAAAAAAATAAAAATACTGAAATATTTATATTTATAATTT